TCTTTTACATTTTTTGGTGTGTGTTGTACCGTGTAGGTTGGGTGTTTAGGCCCACCCATACAAACCTATCTGTACCTTTCTCTTTAATATATCAACCCTTGGGCTTTTTATAAAAAAAAAATATATTCCAATCCCATAAATTTGTGTGTTTAAGGTAGTGTTTCGTCCGTTCGATATGTACATGCGAGAAAGAGAAAGAAAGAGTGAGTATAAGAGAGAATAGAAGTAAAAATAAAACTTAAACTAAACCCATAGACACTATTTTCCAGAGTAAAATATAGCTCTATCCCTCTCTGACTCCTCTGCCTGCTGCTCTGTTCTGCTTGCCGGTCACATATTCCTATCTCCCACTCAAATTCAAACACAATAGCCAAAAGCCACGATCACCTCTCCATATTGAGCGGCAACCTCCACAAATAATTGACTCAAGACCTCATTATACTATGTCTCTCCCATCCTCTCTGTTTAAAAGAAACTATAATCACTTCTCGCTCTTCTGCTTCTAAGCTCCCTACTATTCCAATAAAAAGAGCCGAACGCGAACTTACTAATCTTTGTTCGTGTTATTCGTGTTCGACTTGTTAACTTAGCGAACGAGTCGAACACGAACTTCTTAATGAGTCAAACACGAACTTCTTAACGAGTCGAACATGAGCTATTCGCGAACGAGCCTTTTTGACAACCCTACTTTTATCCTATCTTCTTTCTCATTATTGTTGGTTACTTTCAGTGTTTCCATGCAATAGTAGTTGCCTGAGAGCTTCAGTTAACGTTCTGCCTTCATACCTGCTGTGGTGCCAATCGTGTCCCAGCCCTCCATTACTTCCAATATGGTGGATTTGCTACAGTCGTCGATTACTGCTAAGTGTTTACACTGGTTTATTCAAGTGAACTAAATGTTTAATATATATATATATTTTTTTTGTAAAGCCAATTATTTTAAAAAAATCATACATGCTTTTATATATTGATTTGGTCAAAGCACAATATAGTATTTAATAAACAACAACAACAACAAATCTTTTTTCCCACTAAGTGGGGTTGGCTACATGAATCATTTTTCTCAACAGCTTTTTATTGAGTGTCATATTTTCATTTTATTCTAATAAATTAAGATAAATTTTATATGCAATATGCCCAAGTCTTTTTATGTATATCTCTGCTTTTCTTAACATAAGTCAAATCTAAAATATATAGTTTCCTAACAGGATCATCAGATGGTTGACGTTTAATGTTACCAAACTATCTAAGTTGACTCTTTAATCTTGTCCTCCATTGGAGCTATGCCAATCTTATGACGAATATATTCATTTCGCATTTTGTGTCTAAGTGTCAAGTCACTCATCCACCTAAGCATTCTCGTCTCAGCAACAGTTAAATTTGTTGTATGCATCTCTTTTAAAGGCCAACATTGCGCGCCATTGAGCATTGCAGGTCTCACCACTATCTTATAAAATATTTCTTTCAATCTAAGGGGTACTTTTCTTTCACACAATGACACAATAGGCTCGATGCATTCCTCCACTTCAACCAACCAACTTGAATTCTACTAATAACATCTTCATCTATATCACCATCACTTTGTACAATAGACCTCGAATATCTAAAACGTTGACACCTTTTGATGATTTGATCACTCATAGTTATAACTTTACACTTGAGCTACTACTACTAAAATTACATTCCATGTATTCAGTTTTAGTTATACTCAAACGAAGGTCTTTGGACTCTAATGTAGACCTCGGACTCTAATGTAGACAATGTAGACCTCCATAATTCTAGTTTCTCCTGAACCCTTTATCTAGGCTAATCCACAAGAAGGATATCATCAACGAAAAACATACACCAAGGTACATCCTCTTGTAAAGGTCCAATAAGAGAATCCATTAGCAAAAATATATGGGCTCAAAGTCGATCCCCAATATGATCGAACTGAAGTGGGAAAATACTTAGTCAATCCTCCTGTTCGAACACAAGTAATAGCTCTAGTATATATATCTATCATGACTTGAATATAAATCATATCAACACATTTTTTCTTTAGAACTCTCTAAAGGACTTCTCTTGGAAACTTATCGTACATTTTCTAAATCAATAAAAATCATATGTAGATCCTCCTTATTCTCGTACTTCTCTATCAAACCTCTCAATAAATGTATAGCTTTCATAGTAGTCCCACCCGACATAAATCAAAACTGATTATGCAAAATCTTTGTTACACGTCTTAATCTATGTTTAATTACCTTCTCCCATAATTTTAAAGTATGTCACATTAACTTAATTACTCTATAATTTGCACACCCTTGTGCATTTCCTTTATTCTTAAAATAGGGACAAAAATACTCTTCCTTCACTCCTTAGGGATTTTCTTAGTTTTTAAAATAATATTAAAGCGTTTAGTAAGCCAAGGAACTTCAGAATCTCCTAAATCTTTTCACACTTTAATTGAGATATCATTAAGTCCTATTAATTTTTTACCATTGGTTTCTTTAAAGCCTCCTCCACTTCTTTTTTTGCTAATGTGAAGGTAAAAATAAAACATTTTGTTATTATTAATGATATTAAGATCACAAAGGTCCATCATATTTTCAAAAACTTCATTGAATGTTTATTAAAATAGTTTACCCACCTATGTTGAATATCTTCCTCTAAGAAAAATACTTTTTGATTTTCTTTTTAATACATTTGAGTTAAATCATTACTTTTTGGCTAGTTTATACTTATATTTTTTAATCTCTTTTGTGTCTAATATATTGTAAATGCCACTAAAAGCAGAGTTTGTAGCGTCGCAAATTGTTCTTTTAGACTTCTTGGCGGTCACCCTATAATTTTAGTAGTTCTCTAAGCTTTTATATTTAAACCAATTTTTATAACACAACTTCTTATTTTTAATCTTTTCTTGCATATTATTATTCCACCACCAATTATTTTTATAAACATTTCCTATTGATTATTCTTTATATATTTCACTACTTGTTTGCTATTGTTTGTTACTTTCACACTTAGAATTAGCTTCTTCATAAATATCTCAAATCTTGAAATTTTGAAATTTATGCTTAAAAATATTTTTTGTTTGTTTCTTTTAGGCCCCTTCTAATTTTATGACAATGATTCCTAGTATTCTTTATCTTGCAACTCTTCATCTTAAAAACTTGAACTAATAAACGATGTTAAGTACTTAGAATCTCACTTGGAATGACCTTGCAATCTTTACAATTTGGATGATCTTTTCTTCTCATAAGATAATAATCAATTTGTGTTGTATTAGATCTATTCTTATAAGTAATAATATACTCATCTCTTTTCTTAAATAAAATATTAGCAATAATAAAATCATACGTTAAAACAACATCTAATATGGCTTTACCTTCTTCATTAATCACTCAAAAACTATAGCCACTATAAAAAATTTCTAAAACCTTCTACGACTCTACCAACATGTCTATTTAAATCTCCTCCAATAAAAATTCTTTCTTCAAGAGATATCATTTGTATTAATTATTCAGATCATTCCAGAAACTTAATAAAAACAGTTTGCATAAATTTTGGGAAATGCAAAAAGATAGGGTATATTTTAAAATAAATTAAATTTACATCTTTTGGTCAAAATTATGTATTACAGTAGTCCCAAGGAACTCATTCTTGTAGAGTTTTCCTAACCCAACTGAGAAGTCAAAAACTGTATAATCAATTAGGCTTCAAATTCAAACATTCAGACTGACCTTATATGAAATCCTGTTGGTATCTTCTCATCCAAATACTGAACTAAAATTTGCCAGTAAAAATCCTGTTCTTGTCCGTGGACCAAAAGTCTTGATGCTTCAATGAATGGCTTCAGAACAAAAAAAAAAAAAATCGAGATCGAGAAGGCCCCAGAACAACTGTTTCATTGTTGTTGCCTTTGCTTGAATACTTTCCTGGTCTTCGAAGAAAATCTAGATTTCAGGTTTGCTAGACAGGCCAACTACACTTTGAATTTTACCAGTCTCCATAGCTTCAATAATTTATTAAGAATTGGATGAGGGTGCCATTGAGACTACTATTGTTGATTTATCCGTCCATATGAAGACAAAGCCTTTCTCTCTACTTTATGCAAGAAACTGCTGCTGGCAAAATCTATGTTGCTGTCCCTCTATTTTAACCAATGGAAGTTCACTTCACCTCTCCACAATTGCTTTTCCTTAAAGGTCACCCATTTACTATCAGCTTTCTCTGTATGTTGTGGAAATGCAAGAAATAGGAAGGAAACAGTCCGCCAGTTGCATTCCGGTGGATGTCAGCTAGGAAATCGATGACTGCTGTCTAGCATAGACTTGGGAGAAATCAATAAGTTCCAGGGATCGATTGTGGCGAACTCCCAAACTACAATATCATTTCCTTCCCTTCTCACCTCTCCAAACTTGGAGAGTTCACCCAAACAACAGGGAACTCCTTCTCAAACTCAAAAACCTGAGAACAAACAAAAAATTATCTGTTCTCTCTAAGGAGGCTGATATATCGACTAACCGGATTATCACTTGGACACCTTAATTACTGATCCTAAGATGAAAAAATAAAAGAAAACTGCAATAATAACTAATTTATTATGATAACCCTGTTATAATAAGTGCAATTATAATTATCCAGTGATAGTTCCTTCAATTTATTGCTTCTAGTGAGGAGACCCACCGAATTAATTGGAGGGCTTAATTGCCTATGTATTACTTGGTCAAAATAATTTATTCTTCTTGTTAATGATATATATTACTATTTATGCTCCAAAGCATACAGTTCTTGGGGGGCTCTCAGGAAGAGGAGGGAAGAGTTCCATTGGTGAATGAAATATTCTTTTATACTTATGAGGACAATAAATGAACTATTATTTCTGTTTCTTGTGTCTTTTTTCTGTTTTTACCACTGTTCACTTTTGGGTGCATCACTTGAGCCAACCTTTCCAGTACATAGCGGTTTTATAAGCCTTACTATTTTATAATGATGCCGTTGATGTGTATGAAATGCAGGTTCCTGTTATTCAATTGCATTGCTTGATAAACATTTGTGTATAGAGAACTCCATGAGGCACCATTGCCCTATTTGCTATGAGGTTTGCATTTTTCAAATACTCGGGGCTTGTTTGGGATCATTTTTATTTTCTATTTATTGCTTTGATTTAAATACTTGTTTTTTTAGTACATTTTTTGTTTTTGAAAACAAATTAGTTTTTCAAATTAGTTTATTTTTAAAAACACTCAAAACATCAAAAATTATTTTGACTGCTTAAAAAAACAACTAAACTTGTTTTACCATATCAAATATGTATTGTTTTAAATAAAAACATAAACAAAATAAAATGAAAATAAAATAAAAATAAAAATTAAAAGTGATCCAAACAGCCCCTTAGCTGTCTTAAAGGTTTGGTACTTTCATAATTTTGGAAGCAATCATGCAGTATCTTTTTGACTCACTTCAAGAAACCAGTGTTTTGAAATGTGGACACACAATACATAAAGGATGTTTCCAAGAAATGCTAAACCATTCTCAGTAAGTCATAGTACTTCGTTTTGCATTATTGCAATGGATATGTCAATTTTTGTGATACATAGTCTGATCACTAAGTCCGTGCATTCTTTGGCATTTCTTTTTTGCTAGATACGCTTGTCCAATATGCTCAAAGTCGGTATGTGATATGTCAAGTCACTGGAGAAAATTGGATGAAGAGGCAAGAAGTGAGCCTTAAACATCTACTTTCTTCTTGATTCACAATTTTAGTAATTGTTCACTGCACATTATACTTAAAGAATTTTCTTGATTCAGAAATACGACTGTTTTTGTTTATTAAACTCAATCATGTTCACATTGCCAAACATTAAGTTTTGATTAAAATTTTTTAACCTTTGTTCTGTCCATTGTGCATATCTGAACTCTGAAGTATAGAGTAACCATAATTATATTATAATTCTGTAAAGGACACGATGTTGAGATCACCTTAGTGACTCCTCAAGGGCCAAAAGTTCAAAACCTTAACATCTTTCCATTTTCTATATTATATCAGTCTGCTGTATGATAGTAAATTTCTATATTCAAAGAAGTGGGTGATCTATATAGCTCCTTAAAATTTTTTTTCTTTGCTTATATTCTTTTAAGAAATCCATAAAAAATTTCCTCCTTTTAAATGTATTCTTTGCAAACCAGATGTTGATTCACATAAGGGACCTGGCGAGTAAGCTCTCCTGATCAAATCACTAGTCATGTGTGATTGATACGAGTTTTTTATGAGGTTGTGTTGATCTTATTGATTTTATGAGATCATTTAATTTGCTGGCATGCAACTTTTTCAGAGAAGGCATGGCGATTTTACGAGCAGATTTCATTTATGGGTAGCAGCTTCTTCGAGTGCCAAAAGCGCATCATATAATTTTTTTCCTTCTATTAGGGTGTACAAAATATAAATATTATCACGTAAGAACCATTCAAGATGCAGCTGCTATGGAAGTTTCAGCTTTTCCAAGTGCCACATGAACTTTATCTATGTTGTTGTTGATTATAAACATTAACCTTGTTAGCAAAAAAATGTTTTTTCGTGTTTATTAACATAATATCCTGTTATCCCAGAGAATCCAGAAAGTTTATTTGCGTTTTGGCCTTTTCAAAGATGCTATGCCCAACAAAAGCATCTGAGGCCCACTCTTTGACAGTGTCTAATTGTTTTGATTGCTCAAGAAAAGTCAACTTCGTCCATCATTGAACCTACTTACTGTGATGAGACTTACAAGAAGCTTTCCCTCAGAGAGATTATGCTTATTTTAATCAGATTTTTGCTAATTCTTCTTGATATGATGGGAGACTTGGGAGTAATTTTACTTAAGATAGATTATGCTTGCTTTTTTTAATTTTTTTCTGATCCTAGACTAGGATCTAGTTAGATTGAGTTATTGGTGGTTAATTACCCCTACTGCGTATAGGAGAGCATTCTAGAGCAAGAAGGTTATTTAAGTTTGTGCATGAGGCTTAGATTTTGGATGGATGTGGATTCAATGAAGAATCCATATACTTGTTGTTCAAGTATAATAGTGTAATTAGTTGCCCAACATTAGAGGGATTTGAATCATAATATTCAGGAAGCTTGATTAACAGCCATAGGTAATCTCATTTTTTTTGAGCATGCATGTGTGGATGCATATTCTAAAGATATGTTTCTGTGGTTGATATCAACTCATTCTTTGACAGAGGATTGGGCGTAATAGTTTCAGTTAGTTATTCAATGGCGCATAGCATTGCCACTTACTATTAGAGTTACTAGACGTGACTGAAGGGAGGTTTAAGATGTTGTCTAACTATCAATTATCCATGAGTTTTGGCTTGAATGGAAGAAGCATGCCTGAGTTAAATATGTAATTTAATTGATGGATTTAGTTTCGATTGGACTTATTTGCATGTGAGCTATCATATATCTAATTTGGGTTGATACTTGCAGCCTCTTGAAGGCCCAAGAACTATTTTGTTTTGATGGGTTTGTTTGCTTTGAATTTGCCTAACGAAGGTTTACATTCATTTGAACGTTCTAGTTGCTTGTACTTATAATTTTTACAAGCTTTATGTAGGGTTGGGTCTTCACATATTACCCAAGAATTAACTTGTTTTTTCGTCATGTTTGCTTTGACCGAACTCAAATTAATTACGGTGGCATCCGTTGGAAGGCCTAGGTAGCCTTCGCTCGAATCATTATTACTGGCTTGATTTGGGGTTCAATCTTACATTCATAGGAATGCCTATGGATTAAGCTTTATTTATTTGGCACATTGGCTTTGTTCTAATTATATTAATAAATTGGAACTTACATCTATGAGAAAGCCCAAAAGGTGAGACTTACAATATCGGGGATAAGTTAAGCTTAATAATGGGTCTTATGGACTTTCCTTATAAGTAAGGTGAATAAACTATTTAATTTGACGAATATTCTTTTGTTGATTTGATGTTTTATCAATTCATTTGGGCATAAATTACATATATTGGAAAACTTGGGGTGCATTTGGGCTGCTTTTCAGTTGCTTTCCGTTTTGGAAAGCAACTTGGTTTGTTTGGGAGGTGCGTTTCGTAAACTTTCGTTCCCAAAACTTCAGTTTTGCCAATGATGGCGTGGGGCTCGGTTCTGCGGAACGGTACCACAGTGTGGTGGGCAAATTGCTTCGCTGTCCTCATCTTTTCCACAAATTCCCTTTTTTTTCCATGATATTACCCCTCGTTTGCGGTTTCTCCCCCGTCTTCGCTGCAACCATCTCGGGTTAGGAAATATCGATGAGGGGCTTTTATTCGTCTACCTGCCTACCTTCGAATCATCTGTATGTTTCTCGTTGTTCCTCTTTGATTTTGGTTATTTAAAGAAGCTTTCTTTTTTTTCCATTTGTTCTTTTCTATAGATTTTTTTTTTTCAAATTCCGATCTTCTTTGTATTGGGGAGTTTGATTGTTTGTTCTAGTGAGTGCATTCCGTGCTATTTGGGTTTTGCATTACTTGCTTTCTAATTCGAATTTGCGGATGCTTATTTTATTTTAAAATTTTTGGGGGTTTGTTGTGAATTTGTGTTGCTCTTTGTGTAATGTTAAATTATAGGGTGTGTATTACTATCCCTCTTTGCATACTGTGTATTTTAGTTGGGCTTGCTCTTGCTGGGTTTTTTTGGCTGTGATTAAGGTTGCTGCAGTTGGGATTTGATTGCTCGTGGCTGGGGTTGCCCTTATTCTTATTTTGTTGACTGTGGATTTTGTTGGTTGTGGTTGTGGTTGTGGTTGCTCTTGTTATTGGTTCAGTTGGCTGTGGTTGATGTTGCTTTTGTTGACCGTGGATTTTATTGGCTGTGGTTGAGATTGCTCTGGTTGGTGGGGTTGCTTTGGTTGGAGCTTTGTTGGTTGTGGTTAGGGTGTCTGGTTAGGATTTTGTTGGTTGTGTGTTTTGTTGGCTGTGGTTGTTTTGCTCTGGTTAGTGTTCATTTGGTTGTGTTTTGGGTTGCTTTGATTTGGATTCGGTTGGCTGTTGTTGGGGTTGCTCTGGTATTAGTTGTGCTGCATTTCTAGGTTGGCTTAGTTTTACTTTGGGACCTTGTGATATGCATTCTATGTTGTGAGTGGAATAATTGATTTTGTAATTTATTTTGAATTACTTTCTTGGGTTTGCACTGGATTTGGGTGGAGATGCTATATTTATAGGTTTTTAAGTGCAATCCATGCAATGAGAATGTAATCCTTAAGTATTCACATATTTATAGCCTTGATTTTTAATTTTACATATAAGACATTTTACCTATGAACAATATGATGTATTTCACTTTTCAAAGTTTATGTGACATTAAAAATCATATGTTATGTAAATGCAAAAGATAAGTTCTTTGATATCTGCATACATACGAGTTAATAGTATGTAAGTAAATTCCACACCTTCTATGTAGATTTATGAGCATTGCTTATTTTTCAATATATATTTGATGTTTTGCATACATACAAGTCAACTCTTATGCATTCATATAACTGCTTCTCTTCTTCATGGCTATGTGATTTTCGACCTTGTCTGCATTTATAATTATATGTTGTATTTTCTGTGGTAATGACATCGTGCATGTCATATGTAATCTGGGTTTCGACGGGGTTGGTTTATTCATGTTATGTACAATAATATTGGAAAAAGAAAATAAAGAGCTCAACCGATCATCAGTTGTGATTTATAGCTGTCCAAACTTTTTTACAGTCACATTTAACCACAAATACTACCCAATTTTAAAGCTCTCATGACAGTTAACCAAAGATACTACATGTTCTTATTGCCTGCATGAAACAATTGACCTTAGATACCACTTGGCCTTAAAGCCTGCATGACATAGACATCCACAAATACTACTTGGTTTTAAAACACCCGACACACTCATCAACAAATACTTCTTGGTAGTACAACAATCTTGACACGCTCAGGTCCTGTTTGGGGGAGATTAAAATTGCGTTCGGCGTTCCGAAAACGTCGTGGTCGTGTTTGGAAAACACGTTCGTCACTGCGGTGCCAATAATCGCGTAAAGCATTTGCCTATTGCCCGATGGTTCAACATTTCTTTCAACATTTCGGAGTAACTTATTACCCCGCTGCCCCTTCGATCCCGTCTCGCGCCCCCTTTCGATCCCGTCTTGTCTTGCCCTAAATCTGCATCTCCCCTCTATCATCTCGCTCTCTCGCCGTTCTTGGCCCCCTGCATCGTCTCTGGTGTTCGATCCCATTGAAATACTTCAGGTATCGTTTAGGGTATAAGATCTTTGCCTTGGATTGTTGTCTGGGATCGTATTTATGGATTTTTGCAGTGCTTCGAAGTTGCCTCTTATCTCCTGATCTATGCTTCTCCTTAATGGTTTTCGACCTAAAATTTTTTTTGTTAGTCTAGATGATTAAGCTTTTAAATGCTCTCATTTGTATTATTTATCTGGATCATTAAGCCGTGAACTTATTATTTCCTGTATATTTGAATGCCTACATTTGGAGTTCTATATTGTCTTCTTTATCAGTTTTTTGTAGTTGGATTAATTAAGCTTGTATCATGTTTTTATTTTTTCTGGTGTTAACGAGAGTGTGAGAATTGTATGTCATGGTATGGAACTGATCTGTGATGATTTTATGTTTCTGCACCAATAAGCTGTTCTGAATAAGCTGCCACAAACAGTTCTAACAGACGGGCCAAAATGTCAT